ATCCACCGCAAACTGCCGTAGGCGGTTTGGCCCACCAATTTCTAAAAAAAAAAATACTTTATTAAAGAGTTTCTAAGAAAAAACTATGAGAACCTTATGTTTTATTAATGAATTTTTAAAATTTTTAATTAAACAATTGTCCCGTGCATTATTTAATAATCTTTCTTTATAATTGGTCAAATTATTTAATTATGGTAAATTTGGGAATAATTAATGATGGTAATAGAAATCCTAGAAGAATATAGAATTGAACAATATTTAATTATTGTTATATTATTATTGTGACTCACGGAATACAAGAATTAATGTCATTTTTGGTTCTAGACTTATTGGGGCATTGACACTTTTCATCCTCCATAATAAAAATTGCCACTTAGTAGCCACTGTTATTGATCGTTTGACAGTGTTGATCCTCCGTCAATGACGCCGTTTGTTGACCGTGAATTATAAGGGGTTTTCTGTCTTTTTATGTTCTAATCCTTGTATTTCTCCATCCATTGATCACTGCTACATCCATTTCTTCAAACTGAGGTTATCCGCTTCAGTCCTTTCTAACATTAAGAAACCATCTTCACCCAACTAACAATCACAAATTTTACATTTGACATCAATCTCAAGATAATAGAAACAAGTGCAGTTAGAATAGAAAGGGTGTTAGTCCATGCTTGTGGAAATTTTGTCGAGCATACAACATAACTAGCAAAGTCAGGAATATCACCCAACCCCTCCCTTAACCTTTCTGCATCAACTATAATAGGTATGCCCCTACTCTTTGCATCATGCACTACAATCAAAGCAGTCTCATGCAGCCTTCCATCTAAGTAGACAATATTTACTCCAAGCACTGAAGACAATTTTGATTTGGGTATGTAGACCCTCAGATATCATGGGTGGATATCCTGGAGTGAAAATGCACGTGCGAGTTTTTTTTTTTTTTTTTGGTTGTCAACAATGACATATGTGAATGGTGAGTTTCTTCCTTTGGACACCACCATAAAAGATGTATCAACACCATCCCTTTCAAGCTCATCAAGTATTCTTTCGCCATGCGAGTCATCAGCAACCTTAGATATGATCCTTGGATTAATACCAAGACGAATTTTATCATCCGGATTTTATCAAAGCATTGTCAGTGTTACCACCTCCTTGAACCTCAAAGCTGGTGCTCCGAATTTTATCATCCGGGTTGGGGAATGAAGCTACAACAGCCAGGAAGTCAACACCGGCCATTCCAACACCTCAGACAATGCGATTTTTGGGGAGCGGCGGATTCCACATTTTCAGCTTGAAACTTCAATGAATTTCTGGTAGAATAACAGAGTTTTTGAGGTTGTGCACCAAGTAGTTGTGGTTAGAGAGAGAGAGAGAGATGAGAATGATATTTGTGGACAATATGGAAGGGAGGACTTACAGGTGCAAATTCTACATCACGCCATCTACAACTACAATTGCTATTTACCATAGGAGGGTTCGCCGACCTGCTGCCCTCTCTGCTTCGCCGGAACCAAAAACCACCGGTGAAGGCCCCAACCTCGCCGGATCTGTTGCTGCACCGCCAGATCTGCCTTACTGGTCTGTCGCCGGAAGGAGTTACTGCCTCGTATGCTCGCCGCCGTACCCACAACTCGCCGGAGAAGAACCTCGCTGCTACTCACTACCGACGGTTACTACTTAGCCGCCAAGTCTCGCCATCTCGCCTCACAGGAGTCACAGCAGCGCTGGTCTAAACAAGATTAGAAGAATAAGACATAAAAAGACAGAAAAGCTCATCTAATTCACGGTCAACAAACGGCTTCATTGACGGAGGATCAAAACTGTCCAACGACCAATAACAGTGTCTACTAAGTGGCAATTTTTATTATGGAGGATGAAAAGTGTCAATGCTTCAATAAGTCTAGGACCAAAAATGACATTAACTCCGGAATACAATACAAGAATATTTAATTATGGTTATATTATTATTGTGCCTCACGACCATTATATACTAACCGTACTTGAAAAGAAACTAATAATAATAATAATATAATAATAATAATATAAGTGGTAATAATAATATCTAAAAGTAATTAAGTGTTAATAATAATAGTAAGAATATTAACGTAAGAGTTGTAACATAGAATAAATCGTAATAATTAATAACTATAGTCTATGATTAAATTTGGAATTGTCAGAAAAGATAAACGACCTCTGGTGAAATTAACTCTTAAATAATTATATATCGATTTAAATATTCTTAATATATTACAACAATTCCATTCCATGCATCGCATGGGTGAAAATACTAGTTGAAATTAATAATAAATGCATTCTTCCATAAAATATATAATAATACAAAATTAAAAAGTAATTATTTAAAGCTTCAAAAAAAAAAAAAAGATTACCAGATTAATTATTGAAGAGAAGAAGAATAGATGTTTGAAGAAGATGAAAATCAAGAGTGAGAAGCCAAATGCTTGTTCTGGAAGAGTAGAAGAAGTATTTGTTTAATTGTTTTGGGAGTTTCAAAAGAAAAAATATTTGTTTAATTGTTTTGGGAGTCTCAATGGTACTATTGTACCTGGCTAATGCTAAGCTAGGAGGGGCTAATATTTTGTGGGGAGAGGGGCCAAAAAAAAAATATCTATTATAATACTAAAAAAAAAAAAAAAAATTGGGGGCCCTGTAGAGACAATATAGCTCCGTCCCTGCGCAAGGTGAATCCAAAATTCACCTTGCAAGTTTTGTATGCGCCAAGTTTTTTTTTTTTTAGGCAAAATATTCTACATTTCAGATTTATCATCCGAGTTTATCTTTCAGTTTTATCTCTTGGTTTTGATGTATGATATTGTTCAAAATTGAATTATTTGTCCTGCAAATTCTATGTCAATCCCGATAGAATTGCTATTATTCATGATGTTAATATATAAAAAGTTGAGGATAACATTTTGGAAATCTTAAATGATCTATTTTTATTTGACAACTTCTCTATGATTGTTATGTACCTTTAAAATTTCATTCAATGTGTATGTTTTCGTATATAATTATATATGTCATTTTTAGATCGTTGATTGCATATATTTTTGGGTACTCCATATGTTGCGATAAATTTTAAAAATTTAAAATACGCAAATTACTTTATAGTATGTCATGAGCTAATGCGTCACCTTGGGTAAAAGATGATGAATCAAATTTTTACTATATATATGTTACACAGTAGTCTCCATTTTTCAAATGCATATTTTATGAGGCATGTGTGAAAGAAAATTTGTATATTACATGTTTTCCTATTGGGGACAATCAATTTTACATAATATTGTTATTATCCAAATATAACCAGACTCGGCCCTAGGCAAGGGCAGGCTGGGCCCTTGCCCAGGGCCCACTCTTGGAAGGGGCCCACCACCCTATCCCAATATATTTTATATATACTATGGATGTTTCCTATAGTAATTTAGTATGAAGTTATGTTAATGTATTGAAAGGCAGCTGAGTTGGTAGTGTTTATGATTTGAATGCATGAGGTTTGGTTATCAAATCCCTTTATATCTAATATAACTTAGCATTAAGATTTTCCTCCTTACTCTTTATTTATATTTTTAATTTAATTTTTAACTTTGTAATTTTTTTTTACCTTTTTATAATTATAATGTGATTTATAATATAGATTGATTTGTGAGTCATCAAATTTTGAATATATTTCTATTCGAATAATTTACTACTTATATAGCATTAAGATTTTCCTCCTTACTCTTTATTTATATTTTAATTTTAATTTTTAACTTTGTAATTTTTTTTAACCGTTTTATAATTATAGTGAGATTTATAATATAGATTGATTTGTGATTCATATCAAATTTTGAATATATTTCTATTCGAATAATTTACTACTTATATTTAAAATATGCATTATTTTGTGAACTTTATAATGAGTTATTTATATTTCTAATTTGTATTTTTTAAATTTAATTTGTAACTTTGTGATTTTTTACCTTTTTATAATTATAGTAAGATTTATAATATAGATTGGTTTATGATTAATATCAAATTTTGAATATATTTCTATCCAAGTAATTTACTACTAATATTTAAAATATGTATTATTTTGTGAACTTTATAATGAGTTATGTATATGTATTATATTTTGTGATTTAGTTATGAAAATATTTTAAAAGATAGTTTAATTTTTTATGAATTATCTTAGTCTATTGTACATCATCGTATCCAAATTAATCTAGAAAATTTTGAAATTGATTTAATTTTAAAAAGTATATTTATAAATATGATATCAATATAGAAGATGCATAACTTATTATGTTTCATATTTTATTATGAATATCTTTTATCACGTTTAAAGTATTTTGATTTATTGTTCCCAATAATTAAGATTTTTTGCCATGCGTAAATTTGTTTTATAAATTTTTATTAAAAATTATTTTATTATTTATTATAATAATAATGTGATTCTCTATAAGCTCATTTGGTTTTAAATTATTTATTTATTTTTATAAACTATAATTTTTTATTTATGAAAGCACCGATGCAGTTATGGACTATTTTAGATTTAAGAATGCATCTAGAATTGCTTTCATTTGTATGTATAATTGTTAAAAACTTGTGATTAATATTTTTCTTTTATTTTATTTAAATTTTAGTTATAAAAATATATATTAATTTAATATAGGACCCATTTTTTTTGCTACGCCCTAGGCTTATAAAACGATAGGACCGGCCCTGGTTAATGCTACTAGCTAGCATAGTTCACAGAAAATGAGTCATTTTCCTTTTCCTAATAGCACATATGTTTTTACTTCTTGCTTTGAGTTATTACATATGGATATTTTGGGAGTTTTTTTTTTTTTTTCTATTACAATTATCAGTAAACTCCAGCGACTACAGAGAAACATTATCTAAACTAAGGGAGAAAAACAATTTGCAATAAAAAGAAGTTGCAAGGAACTCTCAAACTAATTAATAATTAAGTATAAAAGGGAAATGAACAAAATCTTCAAAAGTAACCAACATCACAAACGAAATAAAATAAAATCAAATTCTCAATCAAGAACAATAGGAATGAATCAATCCCCATACTCTGCTTCCTTGCTTGATTGATCTCAGTCTCTGATCTGCTGATTGGATTGTTGAAGTTGCAAACTCCACTGCTCGCTTGCTTGATACAGCCTGCTCTAACTTTCATAGATCCACATGGTAGTATGACATCGACCAATATTGAATATGGCATGAAACAAAAACATTACACTTGTTGAGCATATAATATATAAACATAAATGGGCAATCCAACTATCAGTTTAGACATTTAATTTAGATGGAACACTTGAAAATTTTCAATGCACTAATTTAAGGACAGTCACAAATGAATTACCTCACCGAGGAATGGTCCTAATGTCTCCAAGTTCCACAATGATGTCTTTGATTGAAAGCAACTCCTTGACTGCATGGCCAATGCTCATTCTGTCCCTAGGTAAATCCACGGAACAAGCGATTCCAATCTTAAGAATTGATGCAAGGCATTCTATTATCTGGTTATGAAGTACAAGACTTTGAGGTGTTGCATTAGCTTCTTTGTGTAATAGCTTTGGATCCACAATCTCAGTGACTTGCTCAGGCATGCTCATTCTAACATAGTTATGAAGAGTTAAGCCATTAGTGAAGATATCACTAGTAGGACTTTTACTGGTAAACATTTCTAGCAAAAGGATCCCATAGCTATACATATCACCAAATGTTGACAAATCACTTCCCATCCCATACTCTGAAAAAATTCAAATTCAAGCATTAGTATTCTTTCACAAAAATATATATACTTTTAAAGTTTTTATGTTTAATTAGAAGTGATTCTCTCTTAAAAGTTTCAAGGAGAATATTTTACCTGGAGCGGCATATCCAAATGTCCCTTTAATTCCTAAAGATGAACTCACTTGGTTAGATGAAGATGCAAGTGTAACTTCCGTGGGAAGAAACTTTGCTATTCCAAAATCACCCACGTGACCAACTAAGTCTCCATCCAACAAAATATTGCTTGGCTTCAAATCACAATGTACTAAACCTGTCTCCAAATGATTATGAAGATAATCAAGTGCATTCGCCACATCAATGACAATATTTACCCTCTGTAACAAGTTCAAACTCTTTGAATCATTATTCTCTCCTGTGTCTTTTGAGTGATTGTGCAACCAATTGTCCAGACTACCATTGATCATATACTCATAAACAATGGCCAAGAAGTCATTACCCTCATGGTCGATGCTACAACAAGTGGTAAAAACTTTTACCAAGTTTCGGTGCCTAATTTTCCTCAATGCTTCACATTCCACCATAAAGCTCTTAGATGCTCCTCTCACTTGAAGCTTGAACACTTTAATTGCAACTATTCCCAAACTACCATCAAGAATGCCTTTGTAAACAGCACTAAATTTTCCAAAACCAATTATGTTGGATTTAGAAAATTCATTAGTTGCCTTCTGGATACTCCAATATGACAACTTAGGCATGAACTCTATTGTTGCATCCAACGTTAAAGGCTGTTTGTTCTTCTTCTTGTAAATGAACACACTAAGAGCCACAATTATCAACAGAATCAAAGTCCCACTCGAAATTAAAATTGCCAACTTTAGAATATGGGACAGATGTTGTCTTTCTCCTTCTCTTGGGCATGTTGGCAACCCAAATTGTGGAATACCTCCACAAAGGTTGTTACCTACAAGCTCAACTTCAGTCTTGTGTTTAAAAATCCCTTCAGTAGGTAGCTCACCTTCCAAATGGTTAAATGATAAATTCAACCGCTTCAAGTACTGAAGTTTACCTAGAACTTCTGGTATTTTTCCTGTGAGGTTATTACAAGATAGATCCAAAATTTCAAGGCTTTTTAAAGAACTGAAAGGAGGGATAAATCCATGGAAAAGATTATGATTGATGTTGAGTTCAGTCAAGCTACTCAGTGCACCAATAGTACTTGGAAGTGTGCCTAAAAACATGTTGTTTGAGAGGTTTAGTGACACCAAATTTTTGAACCCACCAATCCCTACCGGAAGAGGACCTGTAAAGTGATTGTGAGAGAGGTCTAAATGCACAAGTGATGTGAAGATAACTTTGGGAAAATTTCCTTGGAGTTTGTTTCTGGAAAGATTCAATTCTAACAAATACTTAAAATTTTCAAAACTTGTCGGTATAGTACCTTGCAACTCATTGAATTGTAGGTAAAGCCGACTAAGAAAGGACAGATTTCCCAATGAAATTGGAATCTCACCAAACAATTTGTTTCCTCCAAGGTTTAAACCATTGAGTTGTTGAAGTCTTCCCCACGAGCTTGGAATAGTACCGCCTAGCTGGTTTTCTGATAAGTCTAGGCGTCGTAAGTTAACAAGAAGACGAATTTCACTAGGAATAGTACCACTTACGACATTTTCTGCAATGAAAAAATCCACAAGACTTGAAAAGTTTGCTATGAATCTGGGCAAAACCCCTCCAAAATTGCAGTTTTCAAGATACAGGACCGCTAGTGTAGCAGTACTATTGAGAAGAGAAGACATGAAATCCAAATCAGTGGATTTTCCATTACCAAGCGGATTGTCATAAAGTGAAAAATATTTTAGTCTAAGTCCACTAAATGACGGTACCCCTCCATAAAAATCATTATGACGAACATCAAAATGGTGTAGTGCTGTGGCATTTGACATTGAGATGGGAAGTCGCCCTCCTAAAAGATTATAACCAATATAAAAATACTCTAGATTTGGATGGGTAGATCCTAAATTTGAAGGAAGATATCCTTCAAGTTTATTTTTTCATACATCAAAACCTTTCAATGATGACAGATTGAAAATGGATATGGGAATGGTAGAACTCAGGTAGTTCTCATGTAGATCAATAAAAAAAACTTTCTGCAGGCATCCAAAAGAAGTAGGAATTTTTCTCCTGAAATTATTTTCACCAATAGAAAGTGTATTGAGTGATGAAAAATTGCCTATGTAAGCAGGTATCTCTCCCATCAAGTGGTTTGTGAAAGCCGAAAGGTACTCAAGTTTGGACAGTGATCGAAACTCCAAAGGAAATGTACCCATTAGATTATTGTTTTCCAAATAAAAATCTGTTAGACTAACACAATGAGAAAGGTTTATTGGAATTTCACCTGAAAATATATTACTTTCCAGAACCAACACACTTAATCTTCTAAGTCTACCCATCTCTTTAGGAATTATACCTGATAGAGTGTTGTTGTAAAGAATCAATTCTCTAAGGAAACTCAAGTTCCCAATTGCAGGGGACAAAGAGCCTTGAAGGTTGCTCGACTCCAAATCGATTGTTACAACTCGTTGGTGTTTGCGACCACAACTTATTCCAACCCAATTACAGAAATGGGTAGACTCATTCCATGATTGAAGAGGATCTCCGATCATGTTGGCCTTTAGTGAAAGTAATGTTCCGTGATCAGAAACATTTCCGGGCAGGGAGAAGGAAGCTTTGCAGAGGAAGGCAAATATGGCATAAAAACAAAATAGGGAGGAGCTCATTTTGTGGAGAAGATACAAACTTTATTATACTGATGAGTGCACTGGGACTGGGTGGAAAGATCAGAGTATATATAGAGCTCAAGAATACAAATTAAAGTGAATACATAAATGTAAAAAAATACACATTTTGAGTTATATTGCATCATAATAATGTTGGGAGTTCTTTTAAATTGGGAGTTATTTTTCAAATTTGGAGTTTTTTTTTCCTGACAAAATGAAATTTTCCATTAACTTTTTTTTTTTAATTATCCAAACAAGGAAAAATCTAAAAAAGGATTTCTTAAAGTTATTTTTTTAGGTTTTCAAATAGACTCTTAATGTGTGTTTCGTTGCGGTTTAGCACTAAGTATGGGTATGAAAGTGATTGTTATTATTTGGTTGACTTGGTTTTTAAAACACAATTATGGGTTTGAAATACCCCATTAATGGAAAAACTCATTTCCTTATTTTATAAGGGTTTCATCGCATTATTAATCATTTCCATTCTACCCTACTACCAAACATGCAAAATACTTTCACTAAAACACATTACCATTACCAAGTATTTGATATCCATTCAAATTCCGATTCTCATTCCCATTCCCATGTGCGAACCAAACACACCCTTAGTCTTGCTTTCAATGATTAGATGGGGTTCGAATTCCACTGAGAAACTAAACTGTTATTGAGAACATTGACTAATTAGTTGTGGTTGATATATTATGGCAAAATTGAAAATGTTGGGTTTATTAAAATAAAAAAAATCTTATCAAATACTGAATCCATTAACTTAGTAAAAGGCAGCTTTTAATCCGTGGTGTCTGGGGTACTATGTTGGAAAAACTGGAGCACACTTATTACTTCATTATTTTTAATGAAAATTTTACAAAACCTTTTTCATATAATACTTCTTTCTAGTCAATGGACCTCAAATTCGTCCATACAAACCGTGCTTGACGTACCAACGACTTTCATGCGAAAACATATTTAATGTGTCATCTCGATCTAATTAAGTTAGTTAATTTTATTGTGGTCTTTTATTTTATTGAATAAGATCACAAGATGAAATTTTTTTGTACAGACATTTGGATAGAATGATAAGTTTTTATCTTCACTCAAAAATTAAAAGTACTAAAGTGTTCTCTATTTGTAAGCCTGGATAAGTAAATATAAATCTCCAAATAAATACAAAGTATAAATTGTAAATGAAAAAGAAAAGGAAAATGGCTCAGATAAATAATTTTCAATACGATTTTAATTCAGTGGACCTAATACAAAATTATTTCAATAAGGCATTAAGTCAATGGACCTCAAATTCGTCCATTAGGATAAACCGTGCTTGACGTGCCAACAACGGATTTAATGGCAAAATGTATTTAATGGGGCAACATCTAATCAAATTGGTCAATTGAGTTTGGTAATCACAAAATTCAAATTTTACTACTACAAAAATAACATACAACGCCGAACATATAACGATAAATTTTTTAAAAAATCGACGTCAAAACTTTTCACGTCGGTTTCTCATAAAAACCAACATTGTAAATAATTTTAAATAAAAAATAAAAACACAGTACAACGTTGTTATTTATACAACTGACGTCGTATAACTTAACTAATTTTTTTATAAATTGGTATACGACTTCGTATACTTCTAAATTTTTTTTTTTTAAATAAATTTATGACGTTGGTTTATAAAAAAACCTACATCGTGCTTATGAATTATTTTTATTTTTTTAATAGACGAGTATACAACGTCGATTTTTTATAAAATTAGCATTTTAAAAATAAAAATTATTATAGGTTTCATCAAAAAAAAAAAAAATTATTATATATTTTTTTATTTAAGATACGACGTCGCACTACTAGAAATTATGGAATTTTCGACCACCTGAAAATGATCTTAAATCAAGTCGAAAGCCTTGTTCCGATCACTTTTGGTATCCGGAAAAATCTTTGTTGCTATTTCCGATCACTTTTTGCTTTCGACTTGATTTAAGATTACTTTCAGGTGGTCGGAAAATCCATAATTTCCAGTAGTGTCGGTTTTTGTACGTAGTAGCTCTTTTTAAAATAAACAAATTAATTAACAAAAAAAAAAATCGACGTCGTAGGTCTTTTAAATGTTACTAGTTTACACACGCATTGCACGAATGAGTTAACGCTCAATGTTTATAATTAAATAAATATTTAAAAGTATATCAATGCAAGATTATATATGAGAAGTTCATGCATAAGTAATTTAATGTTGAATTTGTTTATTTAAATATGTAACTCATAGTTTATGAATACAAGGTAATATTGGAGATTCATTATAATTGTTACCAGGGGCAGAGCTACAGTACGTGGGGCAGTGGGAGCATCTGCCCCCCCACTCACCGCATCCTCACACCATATATAGCCCTTGTATGTATATACGTATATATAGTTCATGCATGTTTTACATATAAATATTTGAAAACTGATGAAAGTAAACATAAGACAAGTTGGATGAGTTCGGAAAGTCGTGTTTGAGGCTAGCAAAGGTTTTTTAACTGTTTCTTTAACCCCCTTATGTTTGGCTTTTAACGGTTTTATTATGGTTTTTTTAACAGCTCCTTTATGGCTTTTTAAATAAATATATATATATATATATATATATATATATATATATATATATATATAATTTTTTTATATTAATAATGAGATTTATAATTTATAATGTATTTTTTATTTGATCAAATTAATTATGTTTCATATTTTGTTATGAATATTTTTATAAAATTTTAATGTGTTTTATTTTTCGTCTATATCCAATAATATTTATGACTATATTTTTAAGTGTTTCATTATTTTTGAAACTATAATGTTTTGCCCCCACTGAAAAAAATTTCTGGATCCGTCACTGATTGTTACTAAACTTTTTTTAAATAGTAACCAAGTATTTTTGTTGCAAAGGGTTATAATATATTTAATTTAATGAATGCACAAATATACAAGATTAATGAATGAATACGATACCGGTCATTTAGGTGTTTTGCTCAGTACTCATTTATTCAACCATTATTGTTGAATGAATTATTATAGATAAAGAAATTCATAATTTAAGAAATTTAGATGAAGTAGTGAAAATTTAGGTTATGCTATCGATAGTTGCAGAACCTATATGTCTACCTTTAATTATTGTTCAGTGCTTTATATTCCTAGATTACAGAATTTATTAGCTCATACATTAGCTACTTCAGCACTTAGTTTCAATACTGCTATGTACTGGGACAATGTTCCACCAGACTCTATTTTAACTCTTCTATAAATACAACCGCCAGGTTGACTTTCAAAAAAAAAAAAAGATGAAGTAGTGAAAATTTAAAAATTTTAATTAAATGTAAGGCAAAGATATTGGACGGTTGGTAAATATAATCTAACACAAAGATCAAAATGCTAAAGAAAGTGTTTGGTTATTCAACAGTTTGGAGCAACAATTTGTTTCAAACCACTGAAAATACAAACACTACAATTTACAATATTTTCACTTAGCGTTTTGGAGAATGATTTCCCCAAAACACCTCTGTATTAAAAAAAAAAAAATGTTAACTGTAGAGCCGTTTCAACTTCTTGAATAACAAGAGACAGTTTAGCTGGCTCACTGCTTGCTCTTCAACGGATGGGCAAACTTAATTTTTAAATTGGAGCCTTGAGGCTCCTATAAGGCTTCCATACCACTTTTCCCACCAATGTGCACGGGAAAAGTGGCAAAACTGAGAGGAGCCAAATGTTCGGCTCCCCATATGTTTTATTTTTTTATTTCTTTATTATTATTATTATTATTATTATTATTATTATTATTATTATTATTATTATTATTATTATTATTATTATTATTATTATTATTATACCCCTTAGGTCATTTTACATGCTAACTGCTAACACAATCCGCTAATGCTAACCGCTAACTGCTGATTACCAAACAAGGACATTGAGAGGTAGTTTCCCACTTGACGTATGCAGTATAGTGTGGGTTGGATGTGATGTGTG